CACACTAAAAATGTAACGTTATACAATTTGTTATCAGCAAATACCATAAAGGGACTTTAGTATATCAGTTATGCTTTAAAACATCAGAATTGATATTTGCAGTTTTTAAAGATGATTAAAAACCAAGTAGCCTATGTTTGGGTTGGACTATAGTTTGGCTAATGTGTTGATATTGAATAGAAATTTTGCCTTATTTGTGTACCAGTTTTAGTAGCTACAAATTAATATGGTTGTTAAAGCAAAACCATGGCCTAACCTCAAAACCTGTTTATTTATTCATTAATTGCTTGAATAGTTTATTTCAGCAAAACATGCATGTGATAAATTACTCAAAATTTTGTAACATTAATGTTTTAAAACACCAGTTTAACAGTTTTTACCTTTAAACTTTAAACTTTTTATTGTGCGTTCTGCTTGGCACAGAAAGGAAATTTGTCTGTAACACTGGATTTAAGACAACAATTCCATACATACAACCACCACCCAATAACAACACTCATCAAGACAACAACAGAAGTAAAAAATGTAAAAACCACCTTAGCCCCATACATATTTTCCGCAGGTTTAATGTTGTTGTTGTTGTTTCAAAAAGACCACTACTCAACAAACACGGTGGATTCCTTTATAATCCCACTATATAAAGTTTTGTATACCATTGTTTTTGGGAACCAAAAGTTCCTTCCCAAACCCCCAAAAAGGAATTAATTAAATAAATAAATAAATAATAGATCTAATTATACTCCCAAACACTAGAATATGGAAGTACCCTTTACTGTAGCTTCTGATCACACATAAAACATGTTGTTCAGCTTCACATCATATTTTCTAGTGCAAATGTTTACAAATTCTTAAATTATTTCAAAAGCAAAACTATGTTAGTTAAGAAGTTTTGTTTTCTGTGAAACCGATCTAAAAGAAACAAGTGCATTAAAGCAAAAACCTAAAGTCATAGGAACTGTGGTACGTAGTTTGTTCCTCCTGGGCTGAAATATCCATTTCCTTCTGCTAACAGTTTGTTGGCTAATGTGTTAGTAGAACACGAATGGCTATAGACTAGCTAAACGTTGCAGTACAATGGCTAAATATTATTTCAGTAAATTAAACAGAATTGTAAACAGATGTCTTTACTTTATAAGCATTTCAATTTCAAAAATTAAAATATTTTTAATGTAATTTAACATTCAAATTTATTTTATTGTTCTACAAAAAACACATTTACATTGATCAAATCTCTTCAAACTTTGACTACATTAGGTAAAAAGCCTTGTTTTCTGTCAAACAGATCTAAACAAAATAAGTGCATGATTATAAAATGAACTAAAATCTGCCAGTCCTCTTATAGGAAAATTAACCATGCTTTTATTGGTAAAAGTCTGATAGGCATGTTTATTAGTGGATTGATAACCATTATATATTAAACTGACTACATCAGGGTTAAACTATCATTAGCCATGGTTAATTTGTGGATACTACTGTTTACAGAAAACATGTTTTTGTTTTGTTTTATTTAAAGTAAAACCAGAAATAATTTTCTTAAGGGGTTCTGCTCTGAAAATCCTAGTGAATTCAAATGCATAAGATACTTGTTGCTTTGAGACTCTAGATATTAATACACTGCAGTGTCTCTTAGGTCATCATGGTTCCTTGTGTGCTTAGTGATCAGTTGTCAATCTTATAATTTTTATCATAGGTTAAGATGTGATATTGGAAGTGATTATTTTTTAAGCAGCACATCACAGTTGAATCTGCACATTTATTTCCTCGTGCAGCACCATGGACAGCAACAGCTGCACTGTGAAATAAAAACTGTTGGGGGAGACTTAGCAGGTGGCAACACTTGGATAAAGTCGTGACATTCTTAAATGTATAAGGTATAGAAACTGAATATTTTCCAGAGAACTGCAAAGTCTGCAAATCTCTTGTTTTGCAAATTGTTTACTTTGTAATTGGTCCAGAAACAGCCTGTGAAAAATGTGAGAACAGTGATTTGATCATCAGTTAGAGATGTTAGTAAATGTCTAGATATGAGAGAATTTGTTTTCTATCTTCATTGCTGATCAGTTTTGTCACTCTATTTGTGAAATATAAAATTTCTTAAACATGTTTTGCAAGAATCATTAAACATTACTCATCAGCTACATATATTAATGTCTTATGTTATTAACTTATTTTTGCAATAACAGGGGTGTCAAACTCAATTCCTGGAGGGCCGAAGCCCTGCACATTTTAGTTCCAACCCTGCTCCAACACACTTACCTGTAGGTTTCAAACAAGCCTGAAGGACTCAATTAGTTTGATCAGGTGTGTTTAATTAGGGTTGGAACTAAACTGTGCAGAGCTGCGGCCCTTTAGGAACTGAGTTTGACACCTGTGTGCAATAAGGGGTATGGAAAAAAACATGGAGTTACTATTATGAAAACATTTAAAAAATTTGATATTAGCTAGTTAAATACAGTCGTGTTCAAATAATTAGCATAATCAGTGATCTCTTGAACCACTGTTATTAGCAATAGTGATATCTGTGCATTGTAAATTATTTGCTTTTGGATGTATATGGTAATAGAAAAACAACGTAGCCAATTGTTGTGTTTTGTGCTGCTTGTTCTGAGTAATTGACTAATGCATTGAAAGAGGTGTGTTTAAAATAACAGCAGTGAGGCGTTTCATGAGTAAATTAATTCATTCTGTGAACAAAATAGGTGTTAATGGTCTTTTTATTAAGGCAAAAGGTCTGCTTTCTGAAGTGATATAAAATGTGTCATTGCAAATGTTGTTCAAAAGAACAATGTCATTTAATGAAAAAGTCGATTGGAAAAGGGAAAACTTATTAAAAAAGAAATCTAAAATGATTTCAAATGCTTTTTCAAATAGATCAAAATAGTCTGAATATCAAAAATCCAGCCAATCGTCACCTTCAGACAGATTAATGATTTAAAATGACCTGTCAGTAGTTACAGTCAAAAGGCATTATAGGGCATTTCTGCTGTCAGCGAGAAGTCACAGTGAAGCACCTTTGTTAAGAAAACAGCATGTGCAGAATAGATGAAAAAATAAATAAATGGCAAAGAATGAGAAATGTGGATTGATGGGAGTAAAATTATTATTTTCACATCTAGTGGCAATCAACAGATGACATCCAGGAACCAAATGGGGAGGATGGTAAAACATGTTGAGTAAATCATGATTTTGGGAATGTTCCTCATACTGTGGCATTGGACACATTTATCATTTGAATCAACATGTAGAGGAATGTGTAAGAGGAAATGCCCCTGAAATGGTAACAACAGCAAATACGTAATCAAGCTACACCTTAGTTTCAGGCAAATGTATTAATGTAATGGAGTGGCCAATTTAATACACTCATCTCAACCCAAGTTTCTGAAACAAAAACCCAAATTCACAGGAACTGTAGGACGTAGTTTGTTCCCCCTGGGCTGAAGTACCCATTCCCTTCTGCTAGACCACTGTAAAAAATGCAGGTTTCCACACAATTCATTCATGTTGTCCCGACACAAATTCAGTTAACAGTTTTAACAAATTTCTGTGTATTGAACATAACAATTAGGTTTCCCCAATTAAATTTCAAGAATTGCGTTGTTTCATTGCATTTTAAATAAGTAGTTTGAATGAGCAAAAAAAAAAAAAAAAAAAAAAAAAAAAATATATATATATATATATATATATATATATATATATATATATATATATATATATATATATATATATATATATATATATATATTTATTTATTTATTTTTGAGTGAAGTTTGTTGGCTCAGTGTAACACTGGTATTCAGCAGTTCGAAAGCAATGGCTATAGAGCTAAACATTAGTTTAGTAAATTAAATGGAACTTTAAAATATGTCCTTAGTGTATCAGCATTTCAGTTTAAAGAATAAAATATTTATTTTGTAATTTAACATTAATATTTTTTGTTGTTGTTCTACACACTTCTCTTAAAACACTCAAATCTCCGACTACTTTAACTTAGAATTAAATGTGTAATGTTTTCAACTGAAATAAAAACTATTTTATTTTGCACATAACTTCTTGACTATGGGTCAAAAATGACCCCGGCACTATTTTAACAGCAGAAAAAAAAACTTATTCAACTTTTTTTTTACTAAAGGTTTGGTGACTTTTTCTAAAATATCCACAACTTAAAGAATAAATCCTAATGTTCTATTTTCATGAAGACTGTACACACTTTAGGGTATAACAGTTGCAATTTTGACCTGCCAAAAAAACTATTCTTACGCCACAAAAACTACTCGCGCACACTCACACGATAGGATTTTTATTTTATTTTTAAACTTTAGAAAAAACACCCTTTAATCAAAAACAAGTAATTAAAAATTGATAAAAATACCGCACACTGATGAAGGAAAACCTAGACATTCACAGAATTTGTGATGAAGATGAAGTTGTTTCAATTAAAACAGATCTGAAGATTGAAATAAATTGTACAGTTGAAGTCAGAATTATAAGCCCCCCTTTAATTTTGTTTTTTTTTTAAATATTACCCAAATGGTGTTCAATTGAGCAATGAAATTTTCACAGCATGTCTGATAATATTTTTCCTTCTGAAGAAGGTCTTATTTTCACTTTATTTCATTGGCCCGTTTAAGCTATTTTGTTTTTGATAGTCTACAGAACAACCTATTGTTATACAATTACTTGCCTAATTACCCTAACCTGCTAAGTTAACCTAATTAACTTAGTTAAGCCTTTAAATGTCACTTTGAGCTGTATAGAAGTGTCTTGAAAAATATCTAGTCAAATATTATTTACTGTCAAAATAGCAAAGATAAAATTAATAGGTTATTTGAAATGAGTAAAACTATTGTTTAGAAATGTGTTGAAAAAATCTTCTCTCTGTTAAAACAGAAATTGGGGGGAAAAATAAACATACACAAAAAACTAAACACTTAAATATTAGTGTACAATTACATAATAAATGTGAGTATGCATTGTAGAAAAACATCAACAAACAGCAAATAAACGCTTTCCTAAAAATGTACACTTTATTCGAACTAAGAGTACAAAACAACGGTCAGTATGTACAATACTTGCATGGCCACATTCAACCTCTTTGGTTTTGATGGTGGATTAAATGCGCTGAGCTGACGCTCAAGGAGAAACGCAGCAACACTGCAATAAAGTTGGAAAGCTGCAAGATTACATTTCACAATTTTAAAGCTTGCAAGTAAATACCATCAATTTCACCATACCATTCAACAGCAACGGAGGTATATTTTCAGGAAAATTGGCTAAAACTAGCTAGTGTACATGTCAAAACACTGGTATTTAGCTAAACCATAACAATATAAATAAAACAAAAACAATAAAAAAAAGGTTGCCATATTTACAAGTAATGCTTAAACCAGAGCACACACACATTCTGCAGCAAAACGAAACAATAAAGATTAACAACCTTATGATGATCTGCGATGATGATGAAGTGTGTTAATGTACATATACATTATCGAGAACAGACTTTTCATTTTCCAAAACCAAGAAAAAAGAAAAGAAGAATTTAACTGGGATTCTTGTGATTCTTCTGTTTGCTTCCAAGCAAAAGGCATGGCTTTCATGATGTCTTCAAATTGTAGGGCAAAATCTTCATTCAAATGCATACAATGTCTAAATATTGGTAAATAATGGTCATCGGGGTCCCAACAAGTATAATATTGGGATATATTTTTGCTCACTGACTTAAAACCTGAAAACTAGCCAAGTGCTCAGTATAAATGTGGAAAAAGAAAAAAAAACATGCTTCGTATTCATGCCACAGATTACTATGTGTAATTCTAAAGGAAAAAATCCGTTACAGACACTAAAGGCCACAGTGTTTCTACCATATGAAACTGCAAAAAACTAATTTGCATTAACTAAATACCTAGGACAAAAGAAATAAAATCAAATAAAAACAACGATCAAATGTGAAACCCAGGAACACTTAACAGACACGGGTTTCCGAACAAGCTGGATCTTCAAATGTAAAAGATTCACATATTTTACAACACGCATTATGAATTCAATTCAATTAAATGCCCCGACATGTGGAGGCACAGACACGTTACAGACAATGGTGGTGATGTAACTGACACAGCTACTCAAGTCCTCCATTACAGCTTCTGACTCCATTTTTCACAGACTCCACCAATGTTTTTCCTTCCATCTCTCAGGGAAAATGGGATTTTAATCAAATTAATCCTGTAGAAAGACGAGATGCATAAGAAAACGGTTCAGCCGGTTAAGAAAACATAAGATGAAGCATAATTAGTGAATATTTAGCCGCACCATGGCTGCATTTGTTTGATAAATTACAAGTAAAACAGTCAAATATTAGGTTTTTGTAGTTATTTTTATTGTAATATGTAGTTTTTTTCTGTGGTGATATGATTACTCTTAAATCATTACTCTGAGATCAATTAAATGGGCTACATTTCTGAATATTATCAACGTTGGAACAGTTGAGCTGCTCAATATATTTGTGTGAACAGTGACTGGGGAGTTGAACTCCGTTTTGTGTTCAGCCTTAGTTTATTGTGTTTTCTCCCCACACTTTGTTTACTTTTGGTTGATCTGTTAATAAAACCCCTAGACCAATCCATTTGTGTTTTCCCTTATTTGATGTTGTGTCCGTGGTTGTAATAGTGATACACTACCATTCAAAAGTCTGAGATGGATCAGATCAATCTTTAAAAAAATTACTAGATATAATAAGGATGTATTAAGTTTTTATATGAATTATTATTTTCAGTAGTCTTTAATGAAAAGCATTAGCTTTCACTAAAGTATTATTAAGTAGAACAACAAATCTAGTATCAAAGGGTCCTTCAAGTTTTATCCAATGTGTGAATTATAAACTGACGAACAGGGGGTCAACTGTTTTGGTTAGTTTGTGTAATACAAGCTTCAGCCATTTACTTATTTATTTTTATTTTTTTATCTACTTTATTATTAAGACATATTTAAGTTTGTAATCTGATCTACAGTATTCTCTGATTAGCCATTTCAGAGATTACTGTAGGTTAAACTATAAACTATGCGTCTAAATTGACTTTACCTTCAGGCTAAACGTAGATACCAACACCTATTTTACAAGAAAACAAAGGCTTGTGAACACGATGTCTATTGGTGCTCTAAATCTAAATTAAGTTTTATACGAGTTATTATTTTCAGTCTTCAATGAAAAGTATCAGCTTTCACAAAAGTATTAACTAAATAAAAAAACTAGTATCAAATTGTCTTGGAGTGTGTGCGAATTATAAATTGATGATCAGGGGCTCAACTGTCTTGGTTAGTTTGTATAATACACGCATCGTTCATTTTTAGCATTTTTTTTTGTTTTATCTAGTTTATTAATAAAACGTATTTCAGTTTGTAATCTGACCTACATTCAGGGATGGGCAGGATTTAGGATACATGCATTTCAAATACGTATTTTAAATACAAAAAGAGTATTTTGTCATTTGTATTTGATAGGGTTGATGAAAATGGATTAATATTTTGTATCAAAATACTTCAGTGTCTTGTATTTTTTAAATGCTGTAAAATACTTCATCTACATCAAATCTACATCAAGACATTAAATGCACCCTCTAAATGGTTCTTTGGATATTATTGACTCTTCCGTTTAAAGAAGAATTGAAAAAAATCTTATGAGAAAGAGTATACTGTAAAAATGATAATAGTTTTGGGTGGATTGCTGATGCCAAATATTTGACGTTAAAACAGACAACATAAAAATAAGTCCTACAGTGGCAATTCAGTTGATCAGTAGGTCCGTAATATTATTGAAGAGGAACAATGTTAGCCTTAAGATGTCACAACATATCGAATAGGTCTAATTGATGGAAGGTTTGTGAGAAATGTCATGCTCTCTTGTAAAAGCATTTAGTAGTATTTTCAAAATACAAAATACTGTACTTTATTTTGATACAAGTTGTGACTGCTGTATTTTGTAGTTTATTTTGAAGCATCTAAAATTCAGGTGATTAAATTTTTTTTTTTTAAAAGACATTTAAATTTTTTTTGCCCAGCCTGCCTACAGTATTCACTGATTAGTCATTTCAGATGTTACTTTATGGTAAAATACCAACAATTTGTCTAATTTGACTTTACCTTCAGGCTAATTGTAGATACAAACACCTATTTTACAAGAAAACAGTCTTGTGAACATGATGTCTATTGGTGCTCTAAATCTGACAATTTCAGCATTTTTTTTCTCTCAAATAGACTGACTGGCGCGATTATGCATTCACAATGGATTGAACCGTTATGGGGGTGGTCAAATGTATATTATATTATCTATTTTTTTTAAATTACTAACATTATTATTTAAAATAAAGATCAGAGTGAAATTTTTCCCAGCATTAAAGGACTGACCCACCCCCACCCCCCTGTAAATCGCACCCTGATTTCATCCACTTAATACTTTTGTATTAAAGAGGTTTTTAACTCATGCTTGAGTTGAATTTTTTGACCTTCATATGCAAAACAGATCTTTTATAATAGTAATATCCTAATTTACTATGTTTTTACCATATTACATTAAAATCAGCTTTGGTAAACAGAAATATAAATAAATAAAATTGATCAGGTTTCTGAAATGTCCTCTGTCGTCTCACCCTGAATGTCTTTGTCATTACACTTCAGCTTTTTGGCTCTGATTCTCCTCCAGCTTCTTGCTCTCCTCTGCTGACCCGTCTTCCTTCTCTCCGGTTTTCCAGGATCCTTGCCTGCATTCAGATTAAACGTTACATTATCTGCCATTTTAACAAATCTGAGTCCCATATGGTCAGACTAAATGAGCAAAATGAGATGAATGGTAACGGTTAAAAAGAAGCCATAAATATTATGGCAGGCAGTACCTGAATTTCTTCATATACAGCCAGTAGGCCAGTCCTATCAAAAGTGCTGCCAGCATCAAGCCAACAACAATGCCAACAGCCAGCGCCGTCTGGTCACTGTAGTCCTCTGACTGATCTGATTTGGAAACAAAAGAGGTGAAACCATCAGAAAAGAACATGGACAACTTGTAGTAGGGAAAGACAGACGACTACAAACGTAAAAATACTCCAAAAATTAAACAAATAAATGACACTGATGGCCGCTATGATATTTGTCAGGATGCGGGACATTTCAGCACCTTTCTTTAAGCTTTCTTTAAAAAAAAAACACATGTATTCTTGTGTGTTACACATACACCGCAGGTCAAAAGTTTGGGATTTGTATGTTGTTGTTTTTTTTTCAATGTCATGTGAAATTAAATTTATAATAAAATAAAATAATATTAGTAGCAGTTTGGTAGATTTAAGGATATCTATAAGCTAGTGCTGTAGTTCTTTAAGTAGAGGTTGGCGGTAGAGGGAGGGGTGGTTGCTTGGCGAGTTCCAAAAATCAAATTCATTTTATTAAACTATTAGAATCACAATATTTTATCCATAACCAACTGAAGAACAAAATAGTTAAAGGTTAAATATGTTAATAATAAACATTAAAAACCACATGTAAATAAAATGACATTAGTCTTTCGATTTTGAGACTCTGGGGTGATTACGTTATATTAAAGATGATGTTGATTATCATTGATTTTATGGCATCAGGTTAAACCTTCTGACACCTTTGCGGCACTCACATACATCAAAAATAAATACAGGCCTCAACTGAACATGGAGGATGATCTACGAGTGGCGTTCTCCAAAATTAGACGATGAATAGATTTGGGCCTATTGATATGTGTGTGCAAGGTTTATATATTTGTAACCAACTCAGAGAATATTGGGGGTCATGAGTCAATGGCATTGTTATTTTGGGCGTTGCGGGCTTAAACGTTTGGGAACTTCTGAGCTTGTGTGCTCCAAAACAGTAAAAAACAATTTGCGTTCAGAAGAAAAATTGATCAATGATTCTTTTCACGTCACCTCATACTTTAGTTTCTCTTCAAATGTTGACCAATCAAATGCACTCTAGCATCAGACATGCCCCGCCCCTTCTCATTAGCTTTTCAATTGATGCACTTGAGCTTGACCACTCTCACTGGCAGAGCTGTAATAAAACACTATTGGTGGGCTTTTTAAAGAGAGGAGCTATTCTATGTCCCACCCTCTCTTAATGTTTCAGTTGAAATGACATCAAACATGGAATAAAAAAAAAAGTGTATTTCAAAAGTACTTCAAGACTGCATTTATTTGATTTAAAATACAGTAAATATTGCTAAATTGTGACATATTATTATATAAGCAATCTTTATTCCTGTAACTGAAAGCTGAATTTTTCAGCATCATTAGTCCTGTCTTCCACGTCACATGATCTTTCAGAAATAATTTTTATTTGCAGATTTGCTTTTATTTTTTATCCAATTATTATTGCAACTGCAATTTTTTTTCATCCTTCATAGTTTTTCGGAAATGTGATACATTTGACATTTTAGGATTGTTCTGGGGCAGAAAATATAGTTTTTTAAATTATGAATGTCTTTCACTCTTTAACAATCGGTGTCTTTGATTAATAAAGTAAATACTTTTTTTTATAAACATTTTGAACCGCAACACAATTTACACAGACATGCAAAGCAGCCCACCAGGTTTTAAAGTTTTTCATTACACTAATAATAATGATAATGATAATAATAATAATAATATTTTTGACCGGTAGTGTATATATAAAGTCTTATTAATTTAATTTGACTAATCTGATGCTGCAAATGCTCTCTGTGTGATGCAAAGCTGTCCACTTGACTGTACACATGATTGTAAACAACAGCTCATGGTCTTACCTTGTTTGTCCATTGTCACGTCCTCAACAACTGTAATCAGATATAAAAGTCACATTAACTTCCATTTGCTTACAAGTTTGGAATGAAAAGCCCAAATGCCTTCACAACTAAAGAATTTCTTTCCATATCCATCCAACTGACAGCAAGTGAAATAGTTTTTACCCAGAGTGAAAAAGCAATGCATGTAATGCAGAAATCCAGAAGTGTACAGCTCTGGTGGGTTTACCAATTTAACCCAGGGTTAGTCAGAAGATTTCTCAGTGATGTAAAGTGAAAGCACATGTTAGTCAGAGAACAGACCAGCATCCCGACAAACAGAACGAAAGAAATAGGAAAGATGAGCTTCAATAAATAATATACAAGAGAAGTTTTATACTTCAATATTAAATTACATACACTAAATAGGTAAAAGTTTAGAGTAACATTTCATTTGTTAACATGAACCAACACAAGATTAAAAAACTTCTACAGCATTAATTAATGCATGTTTTGAGAACTAATTGCTAAAATCAAAAGCCATATTTGTTAGCAGCATCACTGTGAATTAACTTGAATAAACTAATGAATGGCTTTAATAAATGCTGAAAAAATTGTTACAGCTGGTTCATGTTACCTAATGCACAAAAGTTAACAAATAATAATAATAACAGATTTAATTTGAACAAAACCATTTAGACAAAAACTTTAATCTAAAACAAAAATTATGAAAAAGTGAATGTGTTTGTGTGTGTGTAGGCCAAACGAATCTTACATCAAACAAAACTGCATCGAAATATGCATGCTACTTTATCATAGTTAGTAGAATAAAAAATATAGATGCATATTATACAGTGGTCCCTCATTATAACTCTGTTCACTTTTGGTGGCCTCGCATTTTTACAGATTTTTTTTTAGTGCAATTTGACATGTTTTTTCTACAGCACATTGTGTCCTGTGTCCTGACTGGCTGTAGACCATTGTCAATCAATCTCCCCTGTGCCATGAGTTCAGCTTGCCAAATTTACTTAGTATAGTGCTAAGTTTTCTCTACACAATTTTGACAAAATGTTCAGGACCGTTAAAGGCACCTGTGGTAGTACCCAAAAGGCAGAGAAAGACGTGAACCATTGCACAAAAAGTTGAACTACTGGACTTGCTAAAGCAGGGGTCTTAAACTGCCGGCCCGGTTTCCTTCTCCTTCCTCTTTCCCGCAACTGATGTCAAAAATATATTGAGATACAACACGCACTAAAACATATACTTTAGAACCTCTATCATTGTTGTGCAGTCGCGTCTAGACACTTGTGGTTTTGACCCACCACCTAGTTGACATTTAAAGCACTGCACTCAGATTAGTTTTACTTTCATTTTCTCCCAGTGTAATTCTGTGGCTGATTTAAACACTAAAATATATGTATATAATAAAGCTCAATAATGGTAAATTATCAAGGGTTGTTTGATTATTATCAGTTTTATATCCCTTGCATTTTGTTTGCTTCATGGCTTGGTGGTATAACAAATATCATAATTTTGCTATTATTTGATTAAAGGCACTCATTTCATAGATTTTCCTCATATGCTCAATATTTGCATAAAAACTATGTACATTAGTAAAATTGTACTGCTAGTTCAATTGAACATGTTGAAGTAAATGTAAATATATATATATACTTTCCTCCTCTTTGTTGTAGTTTACGAAAAAAAAAAGAAATATTTTGAGAAGAACAATTTGCAGTAAAGTCACTCAAGTTACCCAAACTGCTTTCTGCTGTTGTTGCGCTGTTCGGACAATACAGTTAGTTGGGACAGAATAATAATTATTACGCCTAGTATTTGTAGTATTTTTATTTATTTAAACGACGCCTTCAATATGTACAACAAGAAACAAAAAGCTTAAGTTTTGACTGCTTATACTCTGTGAAAGAGTGACTGACTTTGTGAGTGTAACGCTCAGCCATGCACACAACAACCACAGATATATTTCAGCAGCTAATGTGTGACACAATAAACACTGATTTGCATGATCACCGGTGTCGGGTATATATTTGAAAAATAAACGTCATGTCTGGTCCTAAAATGCATCAATTATGTCAGGTTTCCACTTTTTTCTTGTACTTGATTGTTAAAATGGAGCTCTTCTGAATTCATTAACTAAAAGGCCCCCGTCCGCCAATTTAAGTTTGAGACCCCTGTGCTAAGTAAGGTTAAAGTCATGCGGCCTTAGGGCACCATTACAGAATAATTAAAGATCAAATGATCTTTTACTCTTTGGTTTTATTCTATAATACTGAACTTCTTTTCTATGAAGGTTTGATCTTTGAGAGTGTTTAAACAAGAGAGAAAAGTGTGAAAATGTTAATGCCTGCCTGAAAAATGTGTATATAGTGTGTAGTAAGGGGTTTTATAGCCTTAAAATGTCTAGAATAATTGTAAAAAAAATAAAAATAAAAATAAAGCTGACTATTGACTACTTATTGCAGGTTATTGAGAGACCAATATATTACATTTTATTTCATTATATAATCATAATCACTATAAAGTAACTTTTGTTAACACTTAACAAACAATAACAAACGCTACAATAACCTAGCAAAGAATGTAATACTGTAGCATTTTAGGCTACTCACAGAATGGTTCCTAATTTCAGCATTTATTAACACATTAGTAAACTTATGATAATGTAATAGCTGATAGAATAGAATTAGAATAAATAGAATTTGGCTAAACTAAATCGCTGCATTTACTTATAAACATAAACAAAGTTTAAAAAAGAGAATCCGTAAACAAAGCTCCTTTTGCACTGGTATTATCGATACAATAAATAAGGTTTAAAACAAAAACTTGGTCTTGACAGGACAATACTTATTTAAAAAAAATAGGAGTCATCAGGCAATGGTATTTACTAATGTTTCATCCTTCACAGTTTCATCTAAATGATTTTGTTGACAGCCGACGAACTAGTGATGGATGAGTGTTTAGTAGTCAAATAAGAGAAGCAGCGGACAGAAGTTACACTTACGCGACGACACATCGATGCTCCTCGTGTCAGAACCCAAATCATTGGAGATTGTGCAGGACACAGTGACATTGGCCTTTGGACTGACAGTGATATAGTATGTGATCTTTCCATTCACATGTTCGCTCTCTTGAAATTTCACCTATAACACAACAAAATAAACAAATAAATAAATAAATAAACAAATAAATAAATAAAACAAAAAAATCCATTAAAAGATAACAGACTTAAAATTGCATTGCAAAAAAAATCTTTCTTTGAGCATTTTTCTTGTTTTTAGTCCAAATAAAGTGAGTCCTAAAACAAGCCAAATAATCTGAAAACAAGATTAATTTGCTTACACCAACTCACCGGCAGATTATTTAGCTTGTTTAAGGAAAAATACACAACCTTTTTCTGAAGAGACATTTTCTACTTGTTTAAAAAAAGTTCTAAAGTAATATATACTACTCCAAGAAAGAAAAGTATTTATTGCAGGGTTTGTGCAATACAATACAAGAGCGCACTGTTTTGTTGTAAAGCTCTATAGTCACCGCTAGAGAGCGCAATTGCTCTGCACACTATTAAGACAAAGAGAAAGCGGGCCAATGAACCAGTGCACTTTCCTTGACATCTGAGTTGCACTGAAAAGCTCAATTTGTACCAATATAAAACCACATGATACAGGAAGCATGTCAAAGCCCCATTATATTAATGGTTTTCCTCTGTACACACCCAGTTAGACAAACTAGTCATCTGGTGTGTTTGAATAGTGACCTCATTGAAGTGCTAGCAATGATAACCGCTTTGTTTAACAAGCTACACATGTGTTTACTGTCACAATGTTACATCTCTATCAGCTCTAAATATGTGCTACTGGCTTGTTTAATATAAAATGTTTACTTAAAAAAAAAAGTAAATGTTTAAAATCAGCAGTAATTCCTGGAATGTAAATTTAAAAAGAGCAGAAATTTCATAATAAAGCCTTTATGAAAGACTCAAGTTTTAGCTTTTTATGACACTGATAAAAATGTCCTTGGGTAGCTGAAGTAATAGATAATAGAGCTAAATGGCATGAGACCGTTATTAGTTGAATAATTAATTTCATTCTTTGGTACAAAAGAATGATTTCACTGGTTTGGCCCATGTTGATTTGCACTGGAAAACATAAAAACCTGGCTAACAGCCTGCTTTTCCCCAGTAATTTATTTAGAAAATTTCCTTTTTTTTAAATATTTCCAAATAAACACTATTTCTAAGGAATATTGTTTTCAGAGCTACTACTTACATTTTCTTTTCACCTGAGGCTTTTTATTTCTTAATTTAATTTCTCTTTAACTAACACAAATCTAATGACTTGCAGTATTGATCAGTTTTGTCCAACTCTGAAGCATTTTATTCTATTTGACATGTTACAGAAATCAATATGAGGAACCAATTTCTAAAATTATTTTAAATATGTTAAATATTCAAATTATCCAATTTAAGCCAAGTGAGTCAGTTGTTTAACGAAACTGCTCATATTCCATTTGCAAAATTTTAAAACGCGGAGAACTCTTAACATTGACAGTAAAGATTTTCAAATGTTCCAAAACAAATAAATAATTCCAAAAAGTATACTTTACATGTGTCAGAAAGTTACACAATGTGTAGAGACTTACATCTGTGCCATTGGTAATCCACTGCACCGTTGGCTTTGGTGATCCTTCAGCTTCACAGCTCAGGATCTTGTTTGTACCATCACCACGCTTCTTGGTCAGGCTCTTGATCAGTGGTTGCCCTGCAAAATCATCAAAAAGTTTTTTTCTTTTTTTGTAAATGTGAGAAATGCTAAAAAAAAATGGACAGTGTTACACAGTCAAGGTAATATCTCACTCAAAAATTAAAGCAGTCATAATTAATTCACACTCCACTAATTGCTGTTTGAGTTTCTTTTGGCTACCAGTTTCACAATGGTTTTAACTTGTAGCCATTAGCATCCATAGTATTTTTCCTACAACATTTTCCTACAAATATCTTATTGTGTTTCTAAAAAATATATTTATCTTAAATTGACTCAAAAGAAAAATTCTCCAAAAACCAAATACACACACACACTCACGTGGTCCCAAACCAAAAGTTTCTTTAGTCTGCTGAACAGAAAACAAGATATACTAAAGAATGTTGGAAAAAAACAGCCACAGACATCCATAGTATTTTTTGTTTCTACTATGGAACTCAATTCTGTGCATTTTACTTTGTGTTTAACAGAAGAAAGAAACTGTAACAGGTTTGAAACAAGTGAAGGGGGAGTAAATAAAGTTAAATTTCTTTGTGTACTATGCTTTTTATAAAGACTTGAAACCATTTGAGGGTGAATAAATAACATTTTTAGTTAAATTATCCTTTTAAAGGCTGAAGTACAATCTGATCTATTATATTTAAAGAGCACTGCAAACTTACCATGAACATTCAAGTCAAATGTCTGTGTCTTCTTGAGGCCAAGCATTGTAACAACACACTCATACACACCAGAGTCTGTGTACTTTAAGCTGGCAAATTTAGGAGGGCCAACCATCTTTTCACCACCCTACAAAATAATGTTTTACATTTAAAAACGAACAACAACAAAAATGTACATCTTATAGATTTTATGCTCAAAGAATAGTTTTTAATATATTATTTTTTTACCTTCTTACAAAAGGTTTCTGTTTTTCCTGAAGCTTTAATATCGAGAGTTGTTTCAAAGCTATCGCCAAGTTTCTTGAAAACCTCACCAGTGGTGCTAAGAATCACATCAAGATCTTTCGGGCAGAGAGAGAGAAAATAGATAACATTTTTAAAAATTAATTTAAAATTCTTTTTTTTTCTTTTTTTTTTATTAAACACAATGCAATCATAGGTACAAAAAGTATGGCAAAGTATTTCCTTACATTCAACGGTGATATTTTTAGACGCCGTCAATATCTCATTATCCACCAATGAACATTTGTATTCTCCGGTGTTTTGCCTAGTTACATTACTCAAGATAAAGATGTTCGATTTCTCCACTGTCTTCTTCTCTCCCTATGGATAAAACAGGCAGAGTTAGAGAATCCAAAAGCAGATTTTAATTTCCAGACAAACAGTAATTCAGACTTACCTTGATGTAGAAGTTGTAGCGAGAGGGTGGGGGGTTTCCGTCTGCCGTGCATTTGAGGGTCACATTGTCTCCTTCTTTAACAGGACCATCGGGCAGCACATGGAAACTGATCGTCTCCGAAGGGTCTGTGGAGAAAGGGTTTGTGTAAAGCAAGGGAAGGCAGCTTAGAGAAGGCCAGCTAGAGTGCATGCAGATAAGGGCACTTCAGAGAACATACTTAAGAGGTCCTTCAGCTCAAGAGTTGAGGGTTTGAGAGCCCTCTCATAATGAGAAATGGTTTTGAGAGTTACCAGAGGGGCTAGTGGCTTCACAACAACAGCCAGATGCAAGACAAAACCCCATTCACCATCTAAACGGCCTGCTCCAGAGAGGCCAAATTACATATCTCATTGGACATGCTATTTGATTCTGATCAGGCCTCTTTTTTGTGGCTACTTCAGGAGGAACGAGAGTTATTCTGAATAAATGCAACGAATTATACTCAACATGAGACCATAAGCCACTTGTGTGTATGAATACATTTGCTGTAAATGACATTGTTTGGAACAGGATTTATGGAGGACTTTTGATCTGTGAAATGTCAAAGTGCTTTGGCGAAATCAAGCCATTTCAACAGGAATTTGGATGATTGATAACAGTTTTTTTTTTATTTATTAAAAAAATAATAAATTCACCACACAGATTGGACTTCAAGGGACTGCAAGTAATCGTTTATATAAAATAATGTCTTAAATAGGGTGGCTCGGTTGCACAGTGGGTAGTGCTGTTGCCTCACAGCAAGAAGGTCCCTGGTTTAAAAGGTCATGACACCCCCCACTTTCGGTTAAAGTGTACTTCAGAATTTTTTCAAAAGATGCATGATTAATGGGCGTGGAGCTCCGCAAGCATAGGGCAGGAGTGGGCGTGGCCAGCAGGGGAAAAGGGGAGCGAACGACTGTTCTTGACAGTTAACTCACAAAATGAGACACAAACCGTGAGGAGACGCATGAGTTTATAGTTCACAAAATTAAAATGCAATTAAATAAACAGTTATTTAATGCCCTGCTACATTTGTTATTCGTAATTTCATATACACATAACCCTAATTTATATCATTATAAAGATAAGTGTGTTCATATGAACACTATAAATGAGGATTCTACCTCGATCCCCGGGTCTAAATTATAGATCTTATTGCAGACTCAGTGCAGCAAGTCTCTTGCCCTGTCTATTTTAGCCATTAGCCCTGTGGGTAATCTGGAGGATTTAGGCAAACACAGCAGCACAGTGATGTGTCTAAATGTGAACGAACTCCTGATAAAAGTCAACGTCCGCCATTCTTCAATTCTCGTACTGCTCTCCTGAAAAAAATGCTTGCAGCACACACACAGCTTTGCTGTATGATCGGCCCTGACAAGATCGCGGGGAAAAAACATGCAACAAACCCTGTGGATCATGGAAACAAACACATACGAGCCTTCATGAATGGCTACTGCGTGCCGTGGGTCCTTGTCTCACGGCTTGCTTGAAACTGGCAGGTCTGCCTTGCCTTCAGAAAGCACGCGCTCTCTTGAATAATTAAGCAGCCGGCTCTTCTCATAGGATAAGAAAACTCCGCTATGAATAATAATGAGAAACCGACGAGTCATCATTGCACTTGCAGTACTGCACTACGTTGCCGATTTTGATCCCGCCCCAAAAATCATTTTAAACCCGGAAGCTGAAATTAGCTGACAAAAGCTCAAAATTATCCAGTTTTCCCCACAATCAAAGCTGACAGGTGCTAAAATTGTCTTAGCGAATCTGTATAAAATGTAATAATTACAAGCAAACCAAGTAATTACAAGCAAATATAAAAACAATTAAATATATAACTAACTAACTAACTAACTAACTAAATAATGTTTTCTGGTTTTTGAAGATTCATGACTCTGGTAAAGAAATGGAATAATCATAATAAAAAACACCAAGGTCTTTACTGTATTATTCAATGCAATTACTATTCGTTAAAGTTGTAAAAAAATACTGTTTTTGCAACTTAAAACTCACTGAAAATTTACTGTTTACACAGTAAGTGTGCATTTTTAGAAGAGCACTGGCGTTTTAGCTGCATAAAAAAAAGCTTTAGTGGACATGTACCCTTACGGGCCTTTAAAAAAAACAGTGCAAATGATAAAATTTAACTCTATTAAAGAAATATTATCAATTAATCTATAACTCACATGCAATGCATTTTAAACTATTATTACAACTTGACTTCATACATCCAGCAATTCAACTATTGCGGATAAGCTCATACATAGTAAAGCCCTATTTTCACTTGTCTTGCGAAATACCCCTAGTTAAGCAATTGAAAAGCTATTAATTAATATTGGCCTTTTTGTATGTAAAATTATACTGAAATGTTACTAACGTGACTGCAACTATAGAAAAAAACACTGGTCCAAACTGAAATGTAAACAGTATAAGAACTTACAGTTCACGGTGAAGACGAGCGGTGAGGAATCCATGTTAGCAGACTTAATGTGCTGAACCTGACAGGTAAACTTGGAATTAATGTCATCCTTCACTGCAGTGTACTCCAGCTTAGATGTAGTGGCAGACAGTCCTGTCGCTTTATCAACAGCCACATCATTGGTGATTTTAATGGCTGTAATTGAGAGAAACAAATGTTAAGAAATGGAAATAAATGATGCACAAGATGATACATTTACTTTTTCATCATTTGGAACAACTCTGAGAACACTTTTCTAGTGCTTTGAAAGGTTTAAAAGAACCATTAACCGTTTAATGTTTGTGAAAGCATTTATAAAGAACTTCAACCAAAATATCTTACATAGCAATGAACTCAATCTTGTTTGGAAGTGTTAGTAAAGGATGACAGTTTTCAGTTTTGGGTGAACTATCCCTTTAAATGTTTAGAAAAAACTATAACCTCTCAAATTTCACTCTTACCTGTTCCATCAGCAATAAGCGGAGTTTTGTTCTTGAACCACGTGATGTTGGCAGCTGGATTGGCACCTTCAGTATGACACTGTGCCAACTGATGAGATGACAAGATAAAAGCAAATTAAAAGAATAACAAAATGTTGCATAAAGGAAAACTTAGATTTTAACTTTAATTCACATATAAACTTGTGAACCATCTAAATGAGTGGCATATCATTATATTTGGAGGACACTATAGGAATCTTTAGAGTTTTTTAAATTCATATTCATGCTTCATTAAAAGAAAAGAGCTCTTTTATTCCAAAAACAACAACAACAACAACAACAACAACAAAAAAAGGCTCAACAAAATTTCAGGTTTATCCCTTTGTTAAATTAAATTTGATGCACAGAGTAAAATAGGAAATTTGTGTTCGACTCAAATGTACATAAACAACATTTTGTAATCAATGTCCTATAAAATCAAACAGCCTACTGTAGTCAGCTTTCCGATTTCCATCGCAGTGGTTAGGTTTGCAATCTGAGGCTGCAATGGAGTCTCTATAAAAAAAAATTATTATTAAATTAAAAAAAACAGGAAAACAGACATTGTTAGACATTAAAGTTCATAAATGCAACTACTAGAAATATAATTTTTTTCAATAACATTTATTAACAGCCGTCTTTGCAAACAATATTGTTGTAATATGTGTGCATAATGTTTCTGTACAGCGACATCATCTACTATCTTATTAAAACATTTTGTTGTTTCGTGATTCAGTGTAAATGGGTTATTGTGACAACTGTCATCTGTACACAATGTTAAAAATGTTTAGTACAACATTGTAGTATTAAGATAGCCTAGGTTACTAAAACTTCTACTGTAGATATGGAATCGTTTTAGGCCTCTTTCAGTAATTTAATTAATGATTCTTACTGTAAATGACCAGTTGGACAGGATACTCCAAAATGTCATCTGCTGCCACAACCATGCAGGTGAAGGTTTTCTGATCCGCCAGGGACACTTGTGTGATGATGAGACCAAAATCTTTTTTAATACTGACTCTGTTCTTGTAGTTACCATCAGTGGGAGAGGAGGCATTCTGACCCGTGTGTTTTACCAGAATGCTGCCATCTTTGTCCTGGTAAAAAAAATAATAAATAATAATAATAAATAAATAAAAATGCACATTTACCAGAGGAGATGACAAAATTGCCATTCATAAAGTCATTCTTCCATACATGTTTAAGTGAAAATACAGTGGTTCTGTAGTCTATTTTTTGTTTTGTTTTTTAAACTGATCAGCCAAGACTACATGTACGACTTTCTGCTAAAGCCTGGTTTATACTTCTGTGTCGAGTGATCCACATGTGCCACGGCACATGCCTTGTGAATTGCTGTGCATTTATACTTCTTATTTATACTTGCACGCTGTTTGGTTTGCTCTGTAATAACACTTCTGAAATGCTAGCTGGCAGTAGCTTGTTAAATTCCTCTTTGTCAAGTTTCTTCACTGATGTTTAGTTTTTTTCTGAACACTACCTTAATGTAGAAGTAGTTTAAACTCGCTTATTGTGAGGTGGGAACCGGCGGACGTGCAATAACATTAATCATAAGGTAAACACAAAACTAAACTTTCTATTTGGTCCTCCCTAACAAGACTCGACATATGTGAACACTCCATGCGATGTGTAGTTACTTTTTTTGAAAGCTGCACGTTAGCGACCACCACGGCGAGGGCTTTGCATCTACGCTCAGGCTGCGCCACAGCTTACGCATGCACTTGACGCAAAAGTATTAATCAGCCTTAAGGCATTTAGCAAGGAACTGAATTAGTAGATAAGAAAATACCTAAGATGCGCAAAATAATCGATCACCCGTTAACCAAAAGGGTGCGTTTGTAACCGATTAATGGTATCAGTTAAACGATTAAAAATATTATTTTATATATTTTAAGATTGGCTGCATAAGGGGCCGATTGAATTGAATTGATGCCAAACCAGCGCTGATGCTGATGGTTTCCTGGATCTGCGTCATAAACACAACAAATGGGCTTTAGCTTTCATTTAACAGCTTATAAAGCATCTATGCAAATTAATGCAATATCATATTTAAACAACAAAACGGTTAACATATGCGCGCGTTCTCATTGTCTTTTCATTACGCAACGCGCACTTGAACCGCGAGTAAGAGAGGAAATATCTTTAAAATAATGATTTTTATTAAAAATTTTAAGGTTTTGTAATATAATAATAACAGCGGGGCAATAAATAAATGCATATTTTCCGTGGAGCGAGCAATTTGAGAAAGTCTGCCATTTCTATTTGACGGAGGAAGAAAAAAAACATATGATTGGAAAAAAACAGCCCATGCTGGTTCTTAAAAAGGATCAGTCAATGTTTTCATTTTGTTCTCTAAATTAATTATTTAAGGGAAAATAATTCAGGGCAGGCCTATTTATTTTATTAATTTTATTCAGTTTTTCTATGCCGTTGGAAACACGCAGGTGCGTGAAGATGCTCTGTTGTTATGTTCTGTTATTATTATGCTAGCATGTTAAAATAAATCAGTATTTTAAAGTGCAAAAATTAATGTGTCAGACATACACGTCAATATGTTTAAAAATGTATTTATAATAATTTAATAGTAGTCTGACCAGTTAACCGTTAATAACCGATTAACGAGCCGCGGTTGTCGGTTAGCAAAATTAACCGAAATGAGCATCCCTATTAAGAATACTTAGGATGTTTGTCTGCAATCACTTATTTTTCAAAATTTCAACTTTAAATTATGACTAAAACTTAAATGATGTAAAAATTTACTTACAGATTTCCACTTAACAAACGTGACTCCTACGTCTGAGACAAGTCCACTGTTGCATGGGATTTCAACAGTGTCTCCGTACTTGCCAGTGACCGTTTCCAAACCACACACTAAAACAGGCAATAAAAAAAAACATGACAGTAAATACAATGAATTGTGAACGCATAATTTAAATGGTAACATACTTCAGACAAAACAAGGTCTAAGGTAATGCAAGAAACTCTTATGTAAAGATTTTGTCAAAAGCTTTCTTTATTAAGAATTTGCTGGCAGTGCTCCAGTCAAATAGTGTAACTAAAGTTTATACATTGGATTTTTATAGAGGTTTCAATTGGCAGTGCTTGGAGATTGAGAGACACAGGGCACCTGACTGACAGCCTTAAAGGATGCAAATGAAATAAGCAGTTAATTAGGATCAGCAAATCTTTAAGATTCTTACATTTTGAATCTGGTAGTTTTTTCATCATAATGTAATAGTGGTATTTTGCGAATAAAGTTGATTAAAAATCAAGAGGGAGTTGACCGTGACTTCATTCTGAAACAAACATTTTCATATTTAAATCATTGGTTTGCTTGGCTGATTTGAATATTCAAACAGCAGTCTGAGGCTACAACTCATTTTTACTGAAAGTCAAACATCTGTAGGTCTTCTTCAATCACCAGCTACAAAAAGTTGAGGTTGTATTGATGCAATTAAATTACATTAATGCAGGCAGCTATCAAATGTAAACTTTATTTCATAGATTTTTATCTCGTGTTACTAAATGCTTTAAGGAAAAATATATATAGATTTCTGTGACCTTCTCAAGTTTCAATATGAAAATACAATAGAGAACAAATGTTTGGAATAAAGTTTCAACATATAAAATTTTTTCAGTATACTATGCATGAAATTGACAAGCAACTTCACCTAAATGAAATATTCAAATTAGAAAAAGACTCAATTCAATTTCTATGCAAACCCTTAAGCCAGTTAAACTGGTTTTCAGAGTCACTTCTGAGAATGGGAGAGTTGGGATGGATAACTGTCAACAGTAGGCCTGATAAAGGTTGTAAGAGATAAGACTAAGAACACAAAACTACATCCTTTTAACAAAAAGCCACTGTAACGTGCCAACCCTGTCTAAAGATGCAATAACATAATTTCAAATTTTTTTAAATGCAAAAACTATGGCAGTTCACAAATGGAAAAAATATAGCATTTTTTACACTCCTCTAAACAGCTACTTGATATTGTCATTTCATTTAGCTATATGCTAAAAAAGTTGGCATTTTGACATTTTGTTTACACATTTGTTCAACCAAAACTGAAAATTCTTTCATTATCACAGTTATCACAAACCTTTTTGATTTTCTTTTTTTCTGTTGAACACAAGTAGTTATATTAAAAGATGCTGGAAATATGCAAGTAGTACTACTGACATTCATTGTAGGAAAAACAGATACTATGAGAATCAATGGTTACAGGTTTCTAACATTTTTCAAAATAACTTCTCTTGTCTTCAACAGAAACCTTCTTCAAAGGGTTGAAACCACTTGTGGGCGAGTAAACGAGTAAATTGCATAGGTGCTAAAGCAATGATGGCAAACTACTGGACTGCAAAGGTGGTGTTTCTTAACAAATTAATATCACCGTCTACTGGCTTGGCATGAAAAAACATTAGAATCGATTCTGCGATTTTCAAAATGTATCGCTATTCTCTCTTGAATCAATTCAAAGGTTAGGTTTTAACAGCAGATGGCGCTCTGGCTACTTTTATCCATACACTCACATGCTCATGACAAAGAGCACTCAAGCAAATTTTCACCCGGTCTATGAATTTGAAAAATAAAAAATCTGTATTTTAATGAGTGCAGATATTGTTTTTTTATAAATGAAACTTTTTAAAGCTCAAAAAGGAGAGAATAATTGGCTTTAACTTTTGCCTTTTTCAAACATTTTCTTTTTTTTAATTCACTAAATTCTATTTTAGTTGTCTATTTATCTATTTTTTTTATAATATTTTAATTCAAATAAAATGACTTTGATAGTTTTAGTTCCCAAAAATTTAGTACAAATTAGAGCTGCACAAAATATTGGTTTAGCATCTATATCGCAATATGCGCATCCGCAATAGTCACATCGCAAAAATATACCATGTTCAGTCTGAATTATAGTCGACCAGGGGGCTATTTCATAAAAGTGGTTAAGAAAAGCAGGGATTAAAGTCAAAAGCCTGACTTCAATAAGCTGAACTAAACGTCCAGCAAGTTGAAGATCATTTGATCTTACTAGTCTGAGTTCAGTTTAAATAATCTAGATAACTGCTCGTGCACGTTTCTGTCGTGAAACCTTAAAAGTCGAGCATAGATACATCGATTATGTTGTGTGCTACCATGGCAACTTCGAGAACTGAAAGAGCTCTGAAATGAGACACAGCTGTTCACAGCGAGTAAGCCGCGAAACCGCAGATTGTTCAATAGGCTACATTTGTAGCAATATATTTTTAAATATAGGCTATTATTTAGGTGTATTAACATGAAATTAAATATTTGTTTTAAAACATAGTAATTGTGCTTGACCACGCGCATGTGCGTGAGAGAGAGGATTTGCGCTTACTGCCAATTGTTGCTTGCAATAAAAAGTTAATGCATTGCAGGCGCACTAACATACAAAATGTTCTAAATGTAAGCACATAGCCTAGGTTTAAAATAAACAAAGAGCCGTGCACGCACAAGAGGTGGGACTTTTAATCTCCCGATTTTTTGCTCTCGAATCTGCTGCAAATCGTTTCTTTCCCTCTGCCACTTGTTTGCACGAATCATCCCCTGATTATTCCACTCATTTTATAGCTTTAAAGTCATTATTCAAGAAACGTAGTCTTCTTATTCATATTATTCAGTGTTTTTCTTACCCCCGTGCTCGTGTGGGTTTTCTCCAGGTGCTCCAGTTTCCCCCAAATCCAAAGACATGCGGCATGCGCTATATATTAGGGGTGTAACGATATTAAAACCGAACCGAAATATCGCGATACACCAGCCACGATACGTATCGCGAAACTCTCGTGGCGTACCGCGGTACTCTCACGCCCCCTGCTGCCCATTGTTGAGGTTGACGTCACTTGTCTCTAACTAATTAAACAAATTTAAACACATCTTTATTATCATATTTGATTAAATTGTTTTAGTAATAATGAAGATTTGTTCTAAATATTATATTCTAAAGTTAGTATTTTAGTGCATGTTATGTCATGTGACTTGAGTAAGCATCACACTCATTACTACTGGACGCAGGATGGCTGCTTCACATAGTACTGAGATTGCAGATCCCCCAGACACATTTAAGTCATCTGTGTGGAAACATTTTGGTTTTCCAGTTGAGTACAGGAATAGAATTCGTGTCGTAGACAAAGCGCACGCCTGTCTGTCTCAACTGTTTCACGAAACTTACTTGTAAGGAAAAACATTTAAAAAGTGTGGTAATTTCACAATGTGAGGGTGTAAGCAACAGAACTGCCAACAAAAGTGATTTAATGTACAAAAGTGAAACCAGAATAATGCCCAAATATACAAAAAAGAGAAATATTTACACTAATAAAAATAATATAATAAAGTAACAAATTCAAACAAAAGTATCAAACAAAAATTAGTTAAACTCGAGCAAGGGGGGGATAGTGAAGACAAACAAAAGAAATAAATATAATAAAACAATCCTAACTCATGAATAACCTCTCTTACCTCGCTAAAACTGATGAAAAGAAAAAAAAGGTCTTCAGCGCCGCATTCTTCCCTATACTGAATAAAATAAACAAAGATTACCTTCACCTCTTACCTGATGTATTTAACAATACATTTTCTGCGTGTTTGTAAAATGGAAATCGTATGACATTTTCCCTATCCACCTTACACTAAGACTGAACTTGAGGAGATACAGCTATATTGTCGGAGTTAAAAAATAATATACAAATCAATTGAAATAAAAATGAAAAAACCTCACAAAACTTCTTAAAGTGGGCAAAAGTAATGCAAAATAATTTTACCCAAACGAAAGTTAAGCAAAAACAACGAAAATCATAATCATGTCAGAAAAATACACGAAAAACGAGATCAAAGGAAAAAGCGCTCTCTCTCCCGCTCTTCCTGAATTGCTTTTTACATTCCCGCGCTGCGTCGCCAAATGATGATAGATCGGTCTCCTGACCAATCAGCTGTCAAAAAGGCGGACCTACAGAAATGACAGGCATCAGCTGTCATGGAGGCGGACCTACATAAATGACCGGCATAGAGGGAGCGGGAGAGAGAGAGAGAGAGAGAGAGAGAGATCGGGAGGCAAACATACAGCCGGCTACAACCCTAACATTAGTTTCAGACACAACCGCAATGTATTTTACTGGTGAATATGTCATGAAAAAACACATTATATGTATATTTTTCATTAATTTAAACGGAAACCTATCTATCTAACTGAAACCATAGATAATCAAAAATTAGCATCTGTGTCTGCACAGAGATCAAGCCTCTCATCGGAGAATGTGGATATTATGGTGTTTTTGAAGAAGATCTTCACTAGTCTACACTGCAGTTATTTATTTAATTTTAGTTTACTTAGTTAGGATGGCTGCACTAAAGAGAATAGTTTTTTTTCTGACTAGTCTATATTGGAGGTATTTATTTAATTCTAGTTGTTTACTCGGTTATCCTGACTGTACTAAAAATGCGATGACAAAGTTAATAAAGAAAAAGTTAAGATGTTCTTGTTATTAAGTGAATTGTCCCTTAGCAGTGCTGTTAACATGACATCAACCCTAACCCCACAGCAAACAGAAACCGAACCGTACCGAACCGTGGCTCCAAAACCGTGAACCGAACCGAACCGTGCCTTTTGTGTATCGTTACACCCCTACTATATATATTTTTTTTTTGCTATTAAGTGACAATAAAGTTATTATCAATTTATTATCAATCATTATTAAGAGGTTAAGTGAATTTGAATGGCATCAAATTATGGCAGGCAAATGTTAACATTACTTTGATTAAGCTTGAACTTAAGGCTTAGCCTGAGAGTTAGCCTGCCCCGGACCAGGCTAGTTTCCCAGCATAAGTTGCCAGGGTAACTAACTTTGAACTAAAT